TAAAATAAAATAAAATAAAGTTGTAATTAAACATAAAAAAAATAAAATAAAAGTGAGTCTGTTATAGATGACATATTGTTGGAGCATTTTAAAAAATCCATTCTGCTAATATCTGCCTCTGAATTGGAGAATTTAGTCTACTTACATTCGAAATCATTGTTGATATGGAAGAATTTACTTCTGTTTACTTTGTTTTTTGTTTTCTATATGTTGTACACCTATTTTGTTTCTTAGTTCCTCCTGAGAAATTACTACTTTCTTTTTGTTTAACTGGGGTTTTTTTGTAGCATACCGTTTTCATTAGTGCAATCTTAGCTTCCATAGTATACAAAAACTCTGTTCCTACACAGTTCTGTACCTCCCCCTTTTATGGTCATTACAATTACATCTTATATTGTGTTCCCATTAATGCCGATTTATAATTTTTAATACATTTGGTATTTGAATTTTATTTTCTTTTTAAATATAATCTATTGATTATGCCATTACAGTTGTCCCATTTTCCCCCCTTCATTCTCCTCCACCCTGCACACTCACTCCCACCCACATTCTCTGCCTTTAGTTCATGTTCATGTGTCATAAGTTCTTCAGCTTCTACATTTCCCACACTATTCTTGCCCTCCCCCCTCTATATTTTCTTCCCACCGTCTATGCTACTTATTTTCTTTCTGTACCTTCTCCCCCTCTTCTCCTCCCACTCCCCTGTTGCTAACCCTTCATGTGATCTCCATTTCTGTGGTTCTGCTCCTGATCTAGCTGTCCACTTAGTTTGCTTTTGTTTTAGGTGTGGTTGTTAATATCTGTGAGTTTGCTGTCCTTTCACTGTTCATGTTTTTTATCTTCCCTTTTTTAGATAAGTTCCTTTAACATCATTTCATATAATAAGGGATTGGTGATGATGAACTCCTTGAACTTGACCTTAACTGAGAAGCACTTTATCTGCCCTTCCATTCTAAATGAAAGCTTTGCTGGATAGAGCAATCTTGGATGTAGGTCCTCGCCTTTCATGACTTGGAATATTTCTTTCCAACCCCTTCTTGCCTGTAAGGTCTCTCTTGAGAAATCAGCTGAAGGTCTGATGGGAACTCCTTTGTAGGTAACTGCCTCCTTTTCTCTTATTGCTTGTAGGATTCTCTCCTTCATTTTAATCTTGGCTAATGTAATGATGATGTGCCTTGGTGTATTCCTTCTTGGGTCCATCTTCTTTGGGACTCTCTGAGCTTCCTGGACTTCCTGGAAGTCTATTTCCTTTTCCAGATTGGGGAAGTTCTTTATTATTTGTTCAAATAAGTTTTCCACTTGTTGCTATTCCTCTTCCCCTTCTGGTACCCCTATAATTCGGATGTTGGAATGCTTAAAGATGTCCTGGCGGTTCCTAAGCCTCTCCTCATTTTTTTGAATTCTTGTTTCTTCATTTTTTTTGTTTGGTTGTTTCTTTCTTCCTTCTAGTCTACTCTATTGGTTTGAGTCCCAGTTTCTTTCCATCACTATTGGTTCCCTGTGCATTTTCCTTCATTTCACTTAGTGTAGCCTTCATTTTTTCATCTAATTTGTGACCAGAATCAACCAGTTCTGTTAGCATCCTGATCACCAGTGTTTTGAACTGTGCATCTGATAGGTTGGCTATCTCTTGGTCGCTTAAAAGTATTGGCTCTGGGGCTTTGATTTGTTCTGTCTGAGCCATAATGTTTTGGTCTGTTTCGCACCTGTTACGTATGAGGGGCAGAGCCTTAGGTGTTCACCAGGGTGGGGCAACCCAGTGGCTGGGTTGTGATGCTGTCTGTGGGGGCGGGGATAGAGAGGTACAATGGCGCTTGTTCTAATCTCTCAGATTTCATTCCCCTCTGCCGCTTCCCACAAGCAAATTGGGCCCTTCTGGTGCTGGTTCCCGGGTAGGTGAGCTTGTGTTCTTTCTAGGACCCTGTGGGTGTCTCCAACGAACTTCTGTGAGGCTGGGAGTCTCTCCCAGCACCTCAACCCCCATAAGTGTTTTTAATTGGTGCTTTTACGCTTTATTTCTCGGCACTGGGGCCCTGGTTGAGTGATCTGTCTCACTGCCCATTTTTTGCCTGGTTTATCTGCACGCAAATGTGTGAGCACGGTCAGCCAGCTGCCTTGCGGGCCTCACTGGGTTTGTTCATTTCCTCCTCCACGGGGGTCTGTCATGCACCACTTTTTCCTGTCGCGACCCCTCTCCGCTGGCGGACTCCGCCCCTCTTACCAGTCTGGATGAATGGTTCGTTGTCGGATGTCTGCACAGTTCAATTTTTGTCTGTTCTGGTTGTGTTTTTGTTTCTAAATCTTTGTTGTCCTTAAATTTGGTTGTGCAAGGAGGCACAGTGTTTCCACCTATGCCTCCATCTTGGCCAGAGTTGAATTTAAAATTCAACTGGCATTTGAATTTTAAATTATAGTAAAGAAAAGAGGAGGTACAAGCCAAAACACAGTAATTCTGACTTATGTAGTTACCTTCACTGGTGTTCCTTATTTCTTTTTCTAGTTTTGAGTTATTGTCTAGTGTCCTTTCATTTCTGCCTGAAGAACTTTAGATTTATTGTAGGGCAGGCCTCCTAGCATTGAAGACATCCAGCATTTGTTTGTGTAGGAATGCTTAATTTCTTTATTTTTTATTCTTACGTGTTGGTTGTTTTTTTTTTATCCTCACCCAAGGACATTTTTTTCATTGCTTTTAGAGAGAGAGGGAGGGAGAGAGAAAGACAGAGAGACAAACATTTGTGTGAGAGAAAAACATCAATTGGTTTGGGGACCCGCGATTGCATGCCCTGACCAGGAATTGAACCAGCAGCCCTTTGGTTATGGTTCAATTCTCCCACCAACTGAGCCACACCAGTTTAGTTTCATTGTTTTTGAAGGATACTTTTGTTGAATATAGGATTGGTTTGACTTCTGTCTTTTTATCCCACTGCTTTCTATGGTTTCTCCTGGGAAATCAGCTATTAATCTTATCTGTGGACTCCATGTATATGATGAACTGCTTCTCTTATGCTGCTTTCAAGAGTCTCTCTATGTCTTTTGTCTTTCGATAGTTTGATTTAATGTGTCTTATAGTGTGTATCTTTCTGTTTACTCTTAATAAAGTTCATTAAGCTTCTTGGATGTTTAGAGTTTTATCTTACAAATTTGGGAAGGTTGCAGCCATTATATCTTCGAATATTCTTTCTGCTCCTTTCTTTCTTGCCTCTGGGTCTCCAATTATGTGTGTGTTGGTATACTTCATCTCAATGTTTGTGTCCCCTCCCCCACAAATTTGTGTGTTCAGATTCTGACCTGCAAAGATGATGGTGTAAGGAGGTGCTTTCGGAGATACTTAGGTCATGAGAACTCTTATGAAAGAGGTTCTGGAGAAATCCCTTTCCCCTTTTGCCACGTGAGGACACAGTGAGAAGGCACTGGCTATGAACCAGAAAGAGGGCCCTTGTGTGATTGTGCTGGCACCATGATATTGGACTTCCCAGATTCTAGAACTGTGAGAAACAAATTTCTGGTGTGTGTAAGTTACTCAGACTATGGTGTTTTGTTATAACCTGAAGACTAAAACACATGTTCCTACAGGTGTCTTAGGTTATGTTAATTATTTTCTCCAACTGGATAACTTAAATTGACTTACCTTTAAACTTATTGATTCTTTCTTCTTGCTCTTTCAAATTTGCCATTAAAACTGTAGAGAAAATTTTTATTTTAGGTATTGTTTGTTTTAGCTCCAGTATTTCTATTTTTTTTAATTTTCAGTTTTTTATTGATATGCTGTTTGTTGAAACCATGTTCTCCTGATTTCCTGTTATTTTTTGTTCTTTTAAACTGTTTGTCTAGTAACACCATGATCTGTTTCTATTAGTTTTTGTATGGACCATAATTTCATTTCTTTGCTTGTTTTATAATATTTTCTTGAAAACTGGATATTTTGAACATTGTAATGTGGTGATTCTGGAAATCAGGTTCTTCTCAGAATTTGATTTTATTGTGTGCTGTGGATTGTATTTGTTTGGTAACTTTCCTAGACTCTTTTTGTAAACTCTATTTTGTTGTCTAAAATCTGTTTCTTTAGCTAAAGTCTGGTCAGTTCATGTTTTGAGAGAGATCTCCTTGAATGCCTGGAGCCAAAAAAGAAAGGGGAAAAAACTTCTAATTTTTGCAGAATGGCTCTGTACTGTATCTCTTTTTTTACTGCTTAGCCAAACTATTTATAACTCTGCCTTAGCCTTAATTTCCTACGTGTGCTGAGTCTCTGATCAGCCAAAGGTGAAAGCTTAGTGTCTTTTCAGGTCTTTCGTGAGCATGCTTCCTGCCCTGGTCAAGTTTGTGACTTTCTAAATATCTGTCTTTAGGATTCATTTCCCAAAGAAACTCTAGTCCAGTTTTTCCTCCCAGGCTCTTGGCATATTTCTTCGCCTCAGTTGAATTCTATTGCCCCAGGTGGCAGCAAGTTGTCATTTGCCTTACAAGGGTTTTGAACAGTGAGCTGTGTAGCAGCTTTTCTACCCTGAGAGTTCTAAGTTAGGCAAACAAAGACAAGCACCTTGCCTCAGCCCTTCAGGTAGCCCCAAGTCAGATCAAACGGACACAGTCCTTTCGTAAGAAGATCTGCTCTGCTCTCTCAGGAACCAGGGACTAGGTTCCCACGCTGAGAATGAAAGCTGCTGTCTCCAAGAGCTGCTTCTGTGTAGCAGCTTGTAGTAGGGAAGAGGGGCAAGGGCAAGTAAAAAACTCTGCAAATCTTTCCTCCCATTTTCAGTTGCTTTTTCCTTAATTCATTGTTCACTGAATTACTGTGGAATCTCCATTTTTTGGAGTTGTGACAAAGTCGATTGTGACAGCTCGATTTTTTCAGTGATCTATGGAGGGATGGGTCCTTGAAACTACTCTGCCATTTTTTTGGTAGTGTCACTCAAGAAAGATTTTTAAAAGTTATTTATTATGATATTTTGCTTTAATGACTGGAGTCCAAGAAATATATTAATGTTTATACATACTATTAACAGGATGGTATTCGACGTGGTAGACCCAGAGCAGATACTGTCCGGGATTTAATAAATGAAGGAGAGCATTCGTCCAGCAGAATTCGTTGTAACATTTGTAATAGGGTGTTTCCACGGGAGAAATCGCTCCAGGCTCACAAAAGGACTCATACAGGTAAGTTGTGCAAATTTTAGAGAAAGTCAAAAATAATACCTAACAGCTGATTTGATGTTTGGGCTTACAAATTAATTTTTTAGTTGCCTTATATTTCCTTATTGTATTTTTATAATATTTTACTCATTTATCTTTAGAGAGGAAGGGAAGGAGAGAGGAAGATAAATATGAATGTATGTTTGCCTCTTGTGTGTCCCCCACTGGGAACTGGCCTGCAACCCAGGCATGTGCTCTGACTGGGAATTGAACCGCGATCCTTTAGTTCGCAGGCCCGCGCTCAATCCACTGAACTACACCAGCCAGGGCCTTATTGTATTTTTTAAAAGTAGGCACTGTGTGTGTTACAGGACCCAGGTTCCTGTACCTGCCACTTCAAAAGAAAGGCCAATATTCAACAGATGAGAATTCAGAGTAAGGAGAGGTTTATTGATCGAGAAGGCCAGCTTGAGATGGGAGAATTCTCAAACACATTTTTTATTTATTGTATGTTTTTCCACTACCACTTATCCTCCTTAGACCCTCTTCTACCTCCACCCCAAATCACCACACTGTTGTCTCTGCTTATGAGTCCTTTTTCTTCATTGCTTTATCATTCTACCCCAACCCCCAGGCAATCTGGAATTGGAAGGGAGGAGGTGAGGCAGAATGTGGGTGCGTGCTCTAGACAGGTAGGTCTTGAAAGGGGTCCAAACAAAAGTGTGAATTTTCTCAATCCCTTCCTTCCCGGTTGGTCCGTGGGTCCTCAGGATCCTCACCCTCACCCCTGCTGATTTGAGTCCAGTTTTGGAGACTTCTGTGAATCTCTGAGAAACAGTCATTACTTTGTGCATATTTCCCACCCTTCAGGGTTTAGGGAGGCACCCTCTATGGCAGGGGGCTACTCATGCAAAAACTCAAGCCTTAAGTAGAATTTCTCTAGTTAATTATATCTGTAGCAGGAACTATTAGCTGAAGGGCAACAGAGAGAGGAAGCATTTCACTGTGTTACAAGTAAGTCAGTTTCTTTTTTGTTGGAGAGAGATAGCTTTCTGAACCATATGACTTCTAAAGTTACAGGGTAATTAATCCAGTAATCATAGAAATCTTATTACTAAATTTAGTTTTATCTTTCTACCTATCTGAATTTTACTTGATATGCCCTTTTCTGTAAATTGTTTAAACTGATTTGTCAGTCATATACTGAAATAGTAATTGTCAAGTTTTTAATAAAATTTCCAGAGCCTGCAGTGTTCCATGAGAGTGTTTCACTTAGCCACTAAGGCTAAAGTGAAGTATAACTTTTCAGAATTAAATGTATTTGTAGGTAGCTATTTCAAGACCATCATAGATCTTTGTGTAGAAAAATTAGACTTGTTAAAATATCACATAGAAAGTGAACAGATAAATAATAAAGAGAGAGTCCTTATTCTTCCACAGACAAAGTTGGCCTTAGAAAGAGGCTTATGGTTCTAATCATGGTATCTAATAATTTACAGATGAGGAAGCTGAGGTACCAAAAACCAAATACAACAACTGCCTTATAACCTCTCACATCCTGAAGTCTAGAGTGGTGCTGGCCATTATGGTAGCACATTGGCTCTTGAGCACTTGAAATGTGCCCAGTCTAAGTTGAGATGCACAGTATGTGTAAAATACACATAGTATTGAAAAAGAGTGAATGATGTCCTTAATAATTTTTATATTGATTATATATCTAAAATATGTATTATACAATATCTGAAATGTAATATTTTAGATACATTGGGTTAAATAAAATGTATTATAAGAATTAATTTCATCCAATCCTGGCTGGTGTAGCTCAGTGGGCTGCACACTGGCCTGTGAACCAAAAGGTCACTGATTTGATTCCCAGTCATGGCTTGTGCCTGGGTTGTGGGCCAGGTCCCCGGTTGGGGTGGGGTATGAAAGGCAACAGATTGATGTTTCTTTCACACATTGGTGTTTCCCTTTCTTTCTCTCGCCTTTCCCTTCTCTAAGAAAATAAATCATTAAAATCTTTACAAAAAATTAATTTCACCCATTTTTCTTTCCTTTTTAAATGTGGCTACTAGAAGTGGTTTACACTTTGCTTCTCTTGGGCAGTACTGGTGTAGACCTTGGATTTCTAACTCTAGTCCCCTACTTTTCCTACTGTTTTTGTGGTTATTGCCTGTTTCTGTTTTCCTTTTAGTTTTTTTTTAAGTCCATTTCTTACTGTATTTTTTCCGTTACCATGTAGCCCCCCAGCCTTCCTCCACCGACTGCCCTTCCTCTCCGCCGTGGTCACTACACCGCTGTCCGTGTGGATAAGTTCTTTTTCTTCTTTGCTTGATCCCTCTTCTTTTAGTTTATTAAAAGATGTATTTTAATGTTATGCTAGAATATAGTTTTCTTAGCTAAATCCCTGAAAAAGTAAAATTTAAATTTTGGATCATAAACCGTGGTGGCCAAGAAGTTTTGACTTTAGGTACAGTTCAGTAAAAATAATTATTTAGTGAGTTTTTGAATTTTTAAAAAATCGAATTAGTCTGAAATATTCCCAAGCAACTGATCGTGGCATACATGTTGTCAGTGTAGAAAAGCTTCAAGACCACATGCATAACGAAAAGCTCCCCGAGTCCCAGTTCGGATCACCCACCTACTGTGTGTCGCCTGATACGATACTTCCAGGAGTCGGCCTGTGACACTGTGTCTCAGGACACCGGGCCAAAGATCTCTGTGGTGTAGTTAAGCTCTAATAGTGAATGCTTTGTAAAAAGCTTTTTTCTTACTATTTTAAATAATTTCTCACCTCCTGTGTTTTGTGAACTTGTGTCCAACTATCACAACCATTTAGTACATTTCTAAACAATGAGAAATTTAGAGAGGACTAATTAGTGTTCTTTTAGTCATATTGGAAGGACCAGAATATAACTGTTGATCAAAGAATATTTTTTCAAAAAATAATTAATTATGATTGAGCAACATTTTTGAGCACTTTGTCCAGCCTAGCACTGTGTTGAATATAGGAATTGAAATGGAGTACAAGGTATTATGCGTCTTTGTGTAAAGAGAATACCATGATACATGAACAACACATGACACTAAGTTAGTGACAGGATACAGAGCTCCATTGTTTGGAGATAGAGTGAGTTTCATTTGAGCCTGTGGGATTGAGAAGATTTGAATGGGCAGAGAAGATAGGATTTGCAAGGAGTAGAGCAAGATGAGGCTCTTATCTACCCCTACTTCTAAATCTCAGGGGTGAAATAAAGATAAACCCTGCCCCCAAACCCAGTAGTTACATTGCAGATTTTAGAGGATTATTTCAAAGTCAGCAGATAATTTTTATTTGTCTAAGGAGTATATTAGGGTTTGGGTGATTTAGGGGGTAGTTGCTATGACAAAAGCAAGAGTTATGTGCCAGCTACTTTTGAAGTGTTGTGCAGGTGGATTGACTAGGGGGTTAGCCAGGGATTGTTCTAGGTGGAGGAGCTTCCAGTCAGCCAGGGGAAGTTGCAGTGGGAAATAGGAATGGGAGAAACTTTAAAGAACCAGCAAGAGTTTGTGATATGGATTATGAGGAGAAAAAATATGGGATCAGCTGAAGATGATAACTTCAAGGATTTGGACCTGCGTACCTAAAAGTTCAAGACCTGAGAAAAATACTGTGCTTCCAAGTTAGAAGTCATGATCTATGTAAAGGTTGATATTCTCCACCTGGCCCTTCTTCTTCTTGCCTTATTGTCTCAGACATAATGTGTAACATCTGTCTACTTAGGTGAGAGACCCTACCTGTGTGACTATCCAGACTGTGGCAAAGCCTTTGTTCAAAGTGGACAACTCAAAACGCATCAGCGTCTTCACACCGGAGAGAAACCTTTCGTTTGTTCAGAAAATGGTATGATGTTAGAAGTTAAGTTTATGTAATAACTAGTTGTGAGTTAGTTAAAATATCTTTTGCTTGAATTTTTTGGGAGGGTTTTTTTTTATAAAGATTTTAGAAAACAGCCCTAACTATTGTGGCTCAGTGGGTTGGGTGTTGTCCTGTAAACCAAAAGGTTGCTCATTGGCTTCCCAGTGAGGACACATGCCTGGTTTGCAGGCCGGGCCCCCAGCTGGGGGCATGCGAGAGAGACAACAGTCAATGTTTCTCTCACACATTTGTGTTTCTCTTCCTCTCTTTCTCCCTCCCTTCCCCTTTCTCTAAAAATAAATAAAAATCTTTTAAAGAAAGATTTTAGAAAACACCATACTCAATTTCTGGAAACAGATTGATTTTTAAAAATAAGTATTCTTTTTAGGTGAAAATCTTAAAAGGTAATTTAAAATACTATATGCAGTTGTAAGCAGTAGAAAAATATACAGCCTTTAGAAATAGGCTTTTAGTTTGGATTTAAACCTTTTAACTATTAAACTGAAGTAAGCATATTATTGTGTACATTTTCAATGAAGGGGGAAATTTTACCATCTTAACACTGCCACTACTAGTAATTTCTTATTATGTAAGCGATTTTCTTAGTCTCTTGTCACAGTTTCTTAAGATATTTTTCTTGTGCACATTCTTATGCAGTTATAATTGAAATTAAATACCATTTTGTTCTGTAGCTCTATGGTTTTCTCGATTATTGTCAGTTGTTATAAATGTTTACAGGCTTTTTCATCTAGTGAATTTGTTTAAGCATATACTGGTTATATCTGGATATTTGCCCCTAATCCCCACATTGTACACAATGATTGCCTCATTGTTGAATATCGAATATTTAATTTGTTTTAAAAATGTGTTTGTTACTAACAAAGCTGAGGGTCGTGTTTTCCTACTGAAAGCTTTGTTTGTCTTTTGGGATGTTGTCCTCTGATAGATTCAAGAGTAGAATTCCAGGGTCAGGTGGTTTGAACATTTTTATGACTCATGCCAATGAATCACTTCCAGTGGGGTTGACTGCATTTGTAATGTGATGACCAAGAGGTGAAAGAACCAGCATCCCATCCCTCTCACTAGCGTTTATAAAATACTGTGCTTAGGGTTTTTTATTCCCCTCCTCTAATTTATAGAATGCTAAATCTCATCATCTTAATTTATTATTTTTTTATTATCAGCAAAACTGAGCATTTTGCATGTGTGCTGGATGTCCAGATTCTGATACGTGTTTCCCTCTGTGTTTTGAAGGCTGCCTTAGCAGATTCACCCACGCAAACCGCCACTGTCCGAAGCACCCTTACGCCAGACTGAAGCGGGAGGAGCCCACCGATGCTCTCAGTAAACACCAGACTGTGGACAACCAGGCTGCTGCCGAGTGGTTGGCAAAGTAAGGCTCTTCCTAGAGTCCACTGCAGAACACCACCCAGGATGTGGACTGATGCTGGGGACTTCACAGTTTTCTCTTTTAAAATAAATAGTTTTTACACACATTTTATAAAATAAAATAACTTGAAATGGTGCTTTATTTTCTTAAGCCACAGAATTGTTAGGAGTGTTACTAGGATCTGTGTGTGATAGAAAACTTCTTTATGATATTAGTCTTGAGTGCCCAGACCACAATTTATTTTAAAAGCAAGTTTTCCCCATTTTAAAAGAATGTTTTATACATATTTCATTTGTTGTTAGTGTAACCCCTCTTTATTTTCTTTTACTAGAATTAAATATGTGCTGATTATTATAGGGCTCTCTATCTCCATAGAGCCCCATGTATCTATATATACAGATATGTATGGATGTAGATATACATTGAGAGATGTTCTTCTGAAGTTCCAAAAAGCGCCCAGTTTAAATTTTTTAAAAAGGCAAACAGGTAGGTGGAGGAGGCAGTATTAAAAAACTTCTCCAATGATATTTTGATTTAAAGAGTCATCTCTCTTATATAAACCACCAGCTGCTAATTGTGCCACTCTCAAGCTTCATCAGCTTCTTCTGCACTTGGGATAAGGTCTGGAACCCCTGAGTGTGCTGATGGAGCTCTGCCTTTCTCTAGCAATGCAGCTGTCTCCAGCCATCTGGGCTCCTGGTTCCTTAGTGCCATTTTCCCTATGGTTTCTGGGCCTTTGTGCTCCTTGCTGCCTCTGCAGAATGTGTTCATTCCCCTAGTCCATTCAGCCACTTGGCTCATTCTTCATTTCTTTTTTTAAAAAATATTTTATTTATTTATCTTTAGAGGGGAGGGGAAGGAGAGAGGGAGAGAAATATCAATGTATGGTTGTCTCTCATGTGCCCCCTGCTGGGAACTGGCCTGCAACCCAGGCATATGCCCAGACTGGGAATCGAACCACGATCCTCTGGTTCACAGGCTCACACTCAGTCCACTGAGCTGTACCAGCCAGGGCTCAGTCTTCATTTCTTACTTAGGTTAAACATCACTTCAGGTGGTTCTTCCCTAACCTGCTCACCAACCCCCAAAACAAATATAGTTAAACTGAATTAATAGATACTTTTATAACATCATATTTTCTCTTTCAAAACCTTCATCATATAGTTATTCATTCATTCAGTGTCTGTCTGTCTTCCCTGATGGTCTGTAAAGTCTATGAGGGTAGGGATTATGTCTGTCCTGCTTACTATAACACTTTGTACCTCTTTCTTCCTCCTCCTGGCTGGCCTCCACTGCCCCATTATTATCTCTAATTTTGTCTAAGCCAGAAACTTTGCTCATCATCCTCGTCTCTATCCTTTCCCATCAACTCAGTGAGTAACTTTTGGAATCTACCTCAACAACTCTCAGATTCAGCTGCTTTGTTTCTTTCAATCCATTCTCCATGTTGCTGCCAGAGGGATCTTTCTAAAATGCTAATGTGATCCTCAGCATGAAGCCTAAACCCCATGTTATAGTACTCAAAGATCTTCATTACTGGGTGCCTGTGGACCTGGCTACACTTCCCTTTTGCCAGTCTCCTTTTCTAGCTGTCCTTCAACTCAAAATGAACTATGTACATTTCTTTTTTATACCTCTGAGTATTGCCAAAACTTTTCCAGTATGAGTAGTGTGAAGTTCCTAAAATCTAGTACTGATTATTAGTACATTTTTGTATCTAATTTTATAAACAGCTTTACTGAGATTTAATTGACATACAGTAAGTTGTACACATTTAAAGTGTACAATTTGATACATTTGGACATATGTGCATACCTGTGAAATCATCACCACCATCAAGATAGTGAACATATCCATCACTTCAACAGTTTCCTCAGGCCCCTTTATAATTCCTCATTGCCAGTCCTTTCCCGCCTTCTCCCCAAACAACTGGTCTGCTTTCTGTCACTATAAACTAGTTTGCATTTTCTAGAGTTTTATACAAGTGAAGCCGTACAGTATGCACTCCCTGGGTGTCTGGCTGTTCTCACTCAATGTAATTATTTTGAGATTGATTCATGTTGTTGACTTTATCAATAGTTCATTCCTTTTTATCACTGAGTAGTAATCCCTTGTATGGATATACCTCAATTTGTTTTTTTATTTATTTATCTGTTGGTGGGCATTGGGTCATTTTTGGCTATTACAAAGAAAGTTACTACGAACATTAATATGCAAGTCTTTGTATGGACAGTTTTGGATATAATGATACTGTCATTAAATATGCATTTCTTTACCAAAAAAGGTGGAACATTTGCATTTTCTCTTATGAATTACCGGTTGGCCATGAAATAGAATAATGGTGGTGCTCTTAAATTTTTGACTAAGACCTATGTTACAGATTAACACGTAAGGCATATTTTGTGGGTTTAAAGTTTCTCATAGTTAACTCTGGATAGGATAAATAGTTTTCTAATGGATATTTGTTCTACTGTTTCTATACTTTAGTGCATTTTACATATGACCTTTAAGGCAGCTATATTTTAATGGCAGAAACACGTTAGAGGGTGACTATGAGACCCAGCACTGCCAGTTTTTGATTTTGGAAATCTGAGAAAATCTCTCTTGAACTTGAATTTTTTTTCCTCTGTAATGAGAAAGATATGTAATGTATATGTGAAATCACTTTATAACTTTTTTTAACTGGAACATATTTAATACCATGGTAAAGAATCTTTTTTTAAAAAGTAAACATTTGAAAATGTCAGATATACCATTTAATTAATACAGATGCGTTTCCCATAGGTATTGGGAAACAAGGGAGCAGCGTACCCCAACCTTGAAAGGAAAGCTCGCTCAAAAGGCTGATCAGGAGCAGCAGGACCCTCTGGAATACCTTCAGTCTGATGAGGAGGATGATGAGAAGAGTGGCGCCCAGCGGAGGCTGCAGGAGCAGCGGGAGCGCCTGCATGGAGCCCTCGCTCTCATAGAGCTCGCCAACCTGACGGGGGCGCCACTGCGCCAGTAGCCTGCACACTTGACTTTTCCACTGTACAGAAGTACCGCCCAGCGTACCAAATGTAGATCCCTGGGCATAAGCTAAGCACCTTATTTGCTTATCATAGGCTGCTATTCTGTAGAAATTCATGAAGAATGTCATTGCCCCAAAATATGGGGTGATAGAGAATTGCACTTTTTAAAATATGGTAATGGGTTGTTGTAAAGTTTAAAATATTTTGTAAATATGGGACCTCTAGTACAGGGTAGGAAACTAAATATTGTGGGAAGCTAGATTTTGCAAGTTTGATGCATTCATTGGAAGCAGTTCTCACAGGAAGCACTTTTTGAATAAGACACTTTTATTAAAAAACAGAATGGAACATGTAGCCAAAGAAGGTTAAGATAGATTATTTATAAGATCATTTTTAACAATGTATATTAGTATGTTTAACAATACTGTAAACACTGAAGTAAACAAGAAGGTAAGGTGTATGTGAGATGTATATTTTTAAATTGCAAAATAGTGTGACTAACAATACTAGAGAAGTGGAGAACTGACTATTTTGGAAGATATCCCAAGTTACGGACTTTGGAGGAAAAATAGATATCTGAGGATCTTGGTAAGATGCCTAATGGTTCAGAATTTTCAAAATTGGAGTAAAATCAGTCTTATTCTATCTTTACGAGGCTTTATATATACTATGATGTTTAGGTTTGAAAAGCACTTGTCATCTGTCTCTTGTTAACTAGGGAACTTTTGCACATTTCATATTTCTCATTTGCTGAAATTGAATGATTAATCTTGCAAAGTCTAGGTAAACTTGGTAATTGCTTTGTTTCTTTCTTTTCTTTTTTTTTTTTTAAACGTGAGCCCTGTAATAAGATTTGGCACTTCAATTGTTATTAATAAAATGGACATCTACAGGGTTGTTTTGTAGTGAACTGTTTTAAATCTTTTGTTAACAAACACTAAATCTTACTTGTACTGCTTGTTTAGAATTATTAGCAAATGAAAGCCTCCTATTTATATTTTCAGTGCATAAAGCTACCTTGCTTTTCAGAATAACATGCCAAGCTATTTTGTGCTCACTAAATTTAGCTGTCAGTTAAACACTGCAGAAAGTATTAGCTACTCAAATAAGTAGGTTTCTGGAATAGTTTTAATTAACTGCACATGTGTTAACTTGTATGATGGTTTTAAACCATTTTTTCCAAATAGATGAAGTTTTTAAACACCACTTTATGTGTTGAAGCATGAACATAAAAATCAAGAGCTAAGCAGTTCACCTCCTTTATGTAGGTATAAATATCCATCATTTTAGCTTTTGTTTGAGCAGGAACTAAATAGCACACATAACATGGTAATTTTTTATGGATTGCTTAAGTGGAGTAAGCCTCAGAATAATAGAGGGAAGCATGGGCTCTACAGCGCCTTTTTTTTCTTTTTTGAATTGAAGTAGTAGCCTACATATGTAGTTTAAACATTATCTAAAATGTAGGCTTCTTTCTCCCCAAATCCCAATGAGTTACAGTCACGTAGTTTCACATATGTAGCAGTGGGGAAGGGGAGGCTTATAAATGTCTGGAAAAGGAGCAGAAGTTTGAAAGATGATAGTAACAAATAATGTGCATGATGAGGACATACTTTACAAATGTAATCCTCAGTACAGTGAATTACAAATCTTGAAAGATGTTTTTGTAATAAGAAAATTTATATTTGTAATGGTCTAAGAATTTTGTTTGTAATCTGATATATAGAATTTTAACTTGGAGCACTTGCAAGCACAGTGAGAGACTATAGCATTGAATTTTCTTGGTTTAGGTTTCAACATTTTCTTTAGATTTTCCCTCTCAAGTATGACTCAAATGAACTGTAAGAAGCAACACTTATTAGTCTTAGGAAATTAAACATTTAATGAAATTACATAAAGAAGGAAAGGCAGTAAGAATTTAAAAATTGCAAATACTTGTCAATTCAAAAATAATAAAATTTAAGACTTTCAAAAGTATGGTTTTTATTTCTCTGGTCAGCTTTTGTCAACTATAATAGTTATATTCACAGACATTTTTTAGTTGTATAATTGAAAATTTTAAGAAATTACAACTATTTACTATAGAAATATTTAAAATGTTCTTTTTCATATAAGCTATGTACTTGGACAGAATACATTGGCATTTCAAATTTAAGGTATGTGAAGACTGCTTTTTGTTTTTGAAATGGTTTACATTCAGATTTTGAAGTGTTTTATGCTTCATATGGCTAAGTTGTAGTTTGGCAGAGTTAACAGCATAAAAATAAATATGCTGTAATTTTAAAAGATGCTTTGAATAAAATTTTATTTTAACTTACAGTTTAAAGTACATGTTCCTTATTGAATCATTTATCATTTGTTTTCTTATAAACAATATAACAACCATGATATAAAAATTAAAGAGATTTAGAAAGAAATGTCTCCTATGGTCCTATATTCATCATTATTATTTTGATACATTTTATATTTCATTCCAGTTATATATACATATTTTTTACTCTTCACTTCAGAATTTTTTTAAATTGATTTCAGAGACAAGGAGTGAGAGAGAGAGAGAAACATCGATTGGTTGCCTGTCTTACGCTCCTGGACTGGTTGGTGATCGAACTGCAATGCTGTTGGTGTAGGGGACCATGATGCAACCAACTGACCCACCTGGCCAGGGCCCAGTCATCTTTTAAGCATAATTGGAACCGTAGTATGAGTTGCTTTATCTTACTTTAAAATAATGGCCTTTTATATCATAGGTATTCATTTAACTTTTTCATCCAGTTCATTATTACAGTGTTAAAAATGCACTGGTATAGATAAGTATTGCAAACCTATCGCATTAGGGTAATCAGGAATGGGATTTATTTATATTCAGGATATATGGGATCTGGTATCATCTTTAGAAACCACCAGAGCCTGTTTACCTTTTATCTGTGCAATTTTTCATTCATTTTTTTAGTATATATTTAGTCTTGTACTTGAAAGGATGAGGTTCAGCTTGGGGTTTTGCAAAAGAATTTCACAAGCAGCTCTTTAGTTGTGAGTTGTGATTTTAACAGAGATCTGAACAGTGGCTTACGGTCTTCGAGTGTGGGTGCACAGATGCACCCACATAGATGCAAATTAAATGCAAAGTGATTAAGGATGTCATTCAAAATGACTACTGTTTGGCAATCAAAATGTACTTGAAGACTCACTGGAAACTTGATCTTTTTCAGGAAATTAATATGATTTCAAGTTCAAATTTTTTTATTCAACTTGCCTTTGAACTTATTTTCTGTTTTAAAAAGGTCTTATGTGTGTTTTTTTCTTTTTTTTAATTTTATTTATGTGTGTTTTCTTTTATGCAACATGGACTCTTTGTGTTTTTTAGTGCTAGTTACTTGCCAAAAGTTATGCTTTAGTTATCAGTGTTGAAAATGTTTTTGGTTGTTCAGTGCCTACAGTAGAAAATTATATGGCATGGGTATAATTAGTACAAAGCCGAGGTTTCAGATTTTTAAAGTTAATAATTTAGAATGAAAATATGGGACATTTGAAAAATTTCTAGAGCAGTGGACTGTGGTCAGCACAGGCAGTTCTGGGACTGTAACAGGGCGCAGCCAGGAGGGGGGCCCCAGGAAAGGATTTGGAATGGGGTCCAGAGCTCAGGGTGTCCAGGAAATATTATGATGTCCTCACCCCCCCCCCCCCAGGTGTCAGTTGGGGGAAAGGGCAAATGGAGCAGGGCCATTGAGAGCTGTTTTTTTGCACAGCAACAGTTTTACCGCTAACCTCTGGAATGGTCATTTAACATAGCTATAACCTTTAATTGGTTTCATAGATAATGTTAAATAGCTGTGGCCAAGTTTTGAGCCAGGGAGAAGGGAGTGGCTTGGGACTCAGTATGAAACTAGGGGCTGCACCCCTGAGGGAGAAGGCCTGTGTGAGAGCTTGGAAAAGACTGGCTCTAGGACATGAGGCAATAACTGCCCAGGTGAAAGGGAAAAACCACACAGCTTTGCTAGAATGGAGATCCCTGCAGCCAGGTAAAGAAGAAAGCCACATGCTTTTGGTGGAGTGCGAACCCCTGCAGCTTTGGTAGAAGAGGCCCACGTGGCTTTGGGATGCTTCCTTTGGCCACATGGTCTGGAAAGCAGAAGAGACTTTGACCGGAACTTGGTACAAAGAACTCTTGCCAGTGGACCATGAGAAGGTACCACATGATTGGATGAACTAGAGATCCTGCCTGCAAGGTGACACAGCTGACGGTGCCAGCGGCCTGAAAAACAGACGTGTGCTCTTTTCCTGATTTACGGTACCCGGAGTTGGGACAGTGGGAGAAGGGAGCGCTGTGTGGGTGTGTTATACCCAGCTAGGAAAATTACAGCTAGGGCATTACCCAACCCTAAATCTGCAGTTCCTGGAACAGGGTAATGAACAAACATCAGGGAACAATTGGGTTTAAAATTCTAGCCAAATAAGGTAACTAACCCGGGGCCACCAGAAAGTTGCGCCAGCAGCAGCACCCACCAATCAGGGACCCTCGCCGTTTTTAAATAAGCCAATAGCTAACCGCCACCTCTGCTTCTGTATGCCTTTGCTTGCTTGCTAGAAAATATAAATACCCAGTAGTCTGTAAGCCAGGTGCGATTTCCATTTTGTAGCTCTGAGTAGCTACGTGACTCCGGTCACAGTTGGGGAAGTTTGCCCCTGCGCAGGAAAATCTTTGGCCATTAAATTTTTTATCAATTCGGTTCCGGACTCCGAGAGTGTGTATTTACCCGCCGATCGTCTACAACAGGTGTAGGTGTACAACCTAAAGGACTTTGATATTTTAGTGGAGACATTAGGCCTGAATAGCATTAAATAAACATTTTGTTTCCTTTTCACAAATCTCTGGCATTGAGAGATGTCTTTCCAACTGGTGGCGGACAGAAGAGCCCAGTAGATATTAGTATTTTGTCCTTGGGAGGGACCCCTGTTGTTCTGTAGCAGTTTTTGGCATCCCTAGGTGGGCCAAGTATTGACCCCCCCACCTGGACCTCTTGATCGGTAACAGGACGATCTTCGGTTAATGCCAGTTAACAGACACTTGCTTAGTTGCCATACCGCTGGATAGGAAGTGGACCCTCAGGTAAGGAGAGAACCTGCCAGAAAGCACCCAGAGGTGAGAAAAGCCTTGAGACTTTGCACCTACCTTACCGAGCCATTCCACTGTAGGTACTAATGTAACAAATGAAAACATGCACACCAACGTTTATGGAAGCATTTTTTATACTAGCCCTAAATTGGAAACCACATACCCTTTAACTGGTGAATGAGTAAACAAATTGTGGTACTATTCAACAACAACAAAAAAATAACAAAAAACGGACGAGTGGCAAAAATATAAAGGAAGTGGCAAAAATATAAAGGAAGTGGCAAAAATACAAAGGAGGTGGAGTCCTGACTTGGGGGTGTGGCTCGGTTGGGCGCTGGTTCCTCCCCATTGGGCCTTGACCTGCAGAGAGAAAGGTTGCTGGTTCCTCTGAGTTGTGGTGCGTGTGAGAGTCAATCGGGGATCAATGTTTCTCACATCCATGTTTCCCTCTCTCTAAAAAAAAAAAAGCCTTACAAGAGGACATACTCATGAACTTCCAGAAAAGGCAAATCTAACCTATTGCAATAGAATCAGAATAACTCCTGATAAACTTGGGTGGGGCAAAAGGGGCCTTTTTGGAGGTGATGGAAATGTTTTAATTTGGGTGGTTGCATGGGTGTATGTGTCAAAACCATTACACTGTGGACTCATGAAATCTGCAGTTCATTCTATGCAACATTCTATGTAAATTATATGTTTAAAAAAGTGGGGAAAAAGCAAAATCAACCCTAAAATTGCTCCCCAAGAGCAGTCTGGAAGGAGGTAGGTAGGGCATTTGAACTCTTCCAAACCCATTTTTGATCTCCCTTTAGACTGGAGGTGCTCCGACGCGCGGTATTTCTGAGGCCGGACTCCCGCAGCCGCGTTTCCTTCCCCGCCCGCAGCGTTGGGCAGCCCAGTAGCGCCAGGCGGCGCTGGGTTCGCACCGGGGCCCTTCCTGTTTGGGCTGCGCCCAGTCCGGCCATGGGGGGGAGGGGCGGGCGAGGACGGAACTGGGGCGGGGCGGCCTGAGGGCAGCCTGGCGCGCCACTGGGAGGGTGCTGGTGGCCGGCGGCCGGTGGCGAGTGGCGGGCGGCCGGTGGTGGGCGGCGGGCCATGGCTCACCAGGCAGACGGCGCGGGCGCGGACCCCACCTCCGGCCGGCTGCCCTCCGGGGTGGTCCAGCTGCTGTCGGCGCTCTTCTACGGGACCTGCTCCTTTCTCATCGTGCTGGTCAACAAGGCGCTGCTGACAACCTACGGGTGAGGCGGGCGCCTGCAGTCCGGGCGGGGTCCGGGAGGGGCGCTCAGCTGCTCCGGCGGCTGCGACCTGACCCAGCACCTTCCCGGCGCTTGTGCTCCACTCGGAGCCGCGCCGGCCAGCTGGCAGGGACTGGCGGGACTCGTGAGGTCCCCGCGTGGGGGGGGGGCGCGGTGCGGAGAGCGGGGTGGGGTGGCGTGGGGGATGCCCTGCCCTCGGTGTGCTAAGGCCGGGTCAGCAGGTGGGCGGGGCGCAGCGCTGGGAGTCCTAGCACCAAAGTGGGTGGCTGTGTGCTCGCCACCTAGAGCGCGCGTTCCACCGGGCCGGGAGCAGCGTTGTAAACACCCAACCACAAACCAACAAAAGTCATTTTACCCGCAGCGACCACGGACACACCTCAACACTACTTACCTGCAGGACTCTCAGTACTTTGGAATGCACCCATGAGCTGAAACAAGTGAACGTTCCTTTATGTGAAGTTAGATGTTCAGTAATCAGATCAGTCCTTAAGGATAAGTTTATTCGTATTGTGTAATTATTCATTCTTAAGTTACCAGCATGTTCATAGAGACTGGGCAAAGCAATGGGAAGTTCCCATGATGTAGTTTTTTGGATGACTGTATAGTAAAGCAGCAAATTTATGGTTTCCTTGAACCTATTTGTAAGGACTAAAAAATGTGTTTAATTCTATTATCACAGTAGCAGTATTGAAAGAGCTGTGAATTTAGACCCAGCTTCACCGTTTAATCGCTGTGCCTCCTGAGCCAGTCCCAGGGTCAGCAGTTTTCTCAGATGTAGTTAAAGGCCTGAATTGCCCCCCAGAGCTTTGCAGGAGCTGTCATAAGTGAGGGCTCTTTGTAAACTATACTTGCTACAAGACTGTAAAATCAGCATTTTATGAAGAGCACAGAGATGTCAGAGTGTCTTCATTCAGCCTTCTTATTTGATACTTGAGAAAGCAGAGACGCACACAAGCTTGGCTGGTTATTCCGACAACACACTGTGTGTCAAACCCATGGCAGACACCGGGGAAGCAGGTGGGAACTGTTGTTCACAAAGCCTGTGCCCTAGAGACCCCTGGTCAATGGTGAGGACAGAAAATAGACAGACGGGTTCATGAATAAGCGAGGTGTTCATGAGGTGACTTCAGGTATGAAACGAGAGTGCCTGGGATGGACTGGTTGGTGCTACCGCATTCCCAACAGAAGGGAAAGTGTTGAAGGGGGGCGTGAGCTGGGCCAGCTGGAGGACCAGAGGGCACTGGATGGAACTGAGTGAGCAAGTGCGAGAGGGGAGGAGAGATGTCAGGGAGGTCAGCGGGGGAGGCAGGATCGGATTCTTCACTCAGTAATACTTCTTAAGAACCTATTATGTGCCCGGCACTCTTGTAGGCACTGGGATACAGAAGTGAATAAAGCTGACCAAAATCATGTGTCATGAGCATACATCTATCATTCTGGAACTTACATGGAGCTTTCTAGGGAGTTAAATAAACTGCTAGAATCTATATTATGGCAGATGCAGTTGTGCAGTCAAGAGAAAATATAGGCAGGAAAAGGAGTAAGGTAGGGATACTGGTGTGTATGACATTTTTCATGTCCGTACCGGGCCTGGGAAAGAATTTCATCTTAGTGTGGTCAGTGTCACCATGGAGGTGACATTTGAGCTAAGACATAAGTGAGGTGAGGGAGATGGGGGAACAACATTCCAGGGGTGGGAGAGTAAGTAAATAGTTTGGATGGGAATGGTACTAGGTGAGTCCCAGGTGGTGAACTGGTAGATTGTGTAGGGCCTTTGTGGCCATCAGAAGGAGCAGAGGAACACCACTGTGGACGGGAGAGCCGGGTTCTTCTTGCTGATGCATGAAAGGAATTACAGATCAGCAAGTCTACTAGCATGTAGTCAGCTTATTAGTGACCCATTCCCATGGAAGAGAATGGAACTAGGTAGAGTGGGGGTGAAAGGCAAAGTTTCAGGGCAAAGCAGGGCAGCAAAAGTAAGAGCAGCTGAAGACCAACCAGGGTGGCAAGTCCCCGGGCAGCCTGAGGCCGGGTGGCCAGAGAGCAGAGAGCACCGAGAAACAGGGAGCGAGAGAGAAACACACACAAACACACACACACACACACACACACACACACACACACGTTTGTTCTGAGGACTTACAGAGTTGGTGGGTCAGGAGAAAAAAGTTACTATTGATTAACGGGTAAATGCGGTGCCAGCTTTCCTGGGGGAATGTGACCACCCAAACTCAGGTATGTGTGGGGGGCTGTTAGCCTGAATCCTTATTTTGCTCCAGACTCCATTTGCTCATCTTGTAAAACAAATACGTGACAGTGTTACCGAATAAGAGGGTCCGAGGGGGGGGTCAATACTTGGCCCACTGAGGGATGCCAAAAACTGCTTACAGAACAGGGGCCCCTCCCAAAGACAGAATTCTAATATCTACTGGGCTCCTCTGTCCGCTGCCAATTGGAAAGACATCTCTCAATGCCAGAGATTTGTGAAAAGGAAACAAAATGTTTATTTAATGCTATTCAGGCCTAATGCCTCCACTAAAATATCATAGTCCTTTAGGTTGTGCACCTACACACACACACAGCTCTCCTCCCACTGTCCCAACTCCGGGTACCATAAATAAAGAAAAGAGCACACGTCTGTGTTGCAGGCCGCTGGCACCGTCAGCTGTGTCACCGTGCAGGCAGGATCTCTCTCTAGTTAATCCAAAGTACTGTGGTACCCTCTCACGGTCCACTGGCAAGAGTTCTTTGTACCCAGTTCCAGTCAAAGTCTCTCCTGCTTTCCAGGCCACACTGCCAAAGGGGGCACCCCAAAGCCGCGTGGGCCTCTTCTACCAAAGCTGTAGGGGTTTGCATTCCACCAAAAGCATGTGGCTTTCTTCTTCACCTGGCTGCAGGGATCTCTATTCTGGCAAAGTTGCGTGGTTTTCCCTTTCACCTGGGAAAGAGGGGGTCCACACCCTTCCAAAACCACGTGGCTCCCTCTTTCACCTCACCAAGAGGGGGGTCCTCACTCTGCTGAAACTGCATGGCTCTCCCCTACATGACTGCAGGGGTCCTCACTCTGCCCCAAACCGCGTGGCTCTCCCTTCAATGGCTGCCACGTCTGGGTTACTCCCTTCTCCTGGCCAAGAGGGGACCCTTACTTTGCTGAAATCGCGTGGCTCTCTCTTTCATCTAGCTGCAGGGGTCCCCATTCTGGCAAAGCCTAGTGGTACTCTTCACTCTCCTGAAAACTGCCTTGCTCCCCCTTCTACCTGGTCAAAACTTGGCCACAGCTATTTAACATATCTATGAAACCAGTTAAAGGTTATAGATATGTTAAGTAATCATTCCAGACGTTAGCTGCAAAACAGCTCTCAATGGCCCTGCTCCATTTTTCCCTTCCCCCAACTGACACCTGGGGGGTGGGGTGAGGACAACTTAATATTTCTCTCCAATATTTCTATACACTTTGAATTCTGGACACCATTCCAAATCTTCCCCCCCCCCCCCCCCGCCCCTTAGCTGCACCCTGTATCAACAGGAGGCAGTTAACTAAAATTGGGGCACTTTCTGAAGTTATTTATGGGCTCTTTCTGTAAACATCAGGGACTCCCTCATAAAACAGTGACCAGAGGTAGACAGTTAACCAGAGTTATTTTATGGGCCCCTTCTTTGGGCACTGGGGACCCTCTCCCACATTTCAGGCCTTGGGATGAAAGCACAGTTTCAAGGCCTCCTTTTCCAGATAGTGGAAATGCTACAAAGAATTTCAAGGACTTCCCTTCTTTCTTGCTAACATAGTGGAACACCTGGCAATATTATCAGACCAGGCTCAGGACTGCTGAGTTAGTGCATGAGCCATGTCTTGCTAGTGAGTGAGACATGTCTCCTTCCTCCTCTTTGCCTCCGTTTCTGTTTATTTGACCTGAGTGGTAAAATGTGTTGCCTGGCAACAAGGATGCTAGACACTGGTCAGTAACAGCAGCGCAGCGTCGGAGTTCTTCCTGTGCTGTCTTCTGCTTCACCGTGATCTAAATCACTCTGGTTGCTGCGTTGAGAGCAGATAGTGGCGGACCAGGATGGAAGCAGGGAGACCATCAGAACAAACAAATCATTTTAATTTTAATCTAAGTGCAATAGGAAATTCCTTGGAAGGTTTTACAATGGGAATGACATGCCATAATTTGTGCAACTAAAAAGATGTCTTTGGCTGGCGGGTGGGTAGAGAAGTGATGATGGACTCAGGGAGAAGAGCTAGGAAGCAGTTGTGGTACTCTAGATTCTAAGAGATAGCTTTGATTGGGGTGGGGTTAGCAGTGGATATAGAGGGAAGCAGTAGATTTGGGATTTTTTTTGGTGGTTCTATGGCTGTTTACATTGTTTACAAGGTCTCTACCAGTGTGTGGCAGCTTGATTGCTGGTGTCCATGGGAAACGCCAACTCTGCTTTAAAGAAATTAGAATGACCATATGCCTAAATCTGGATCATTTAACACATACAATGGAAGCTAATGAAAGAAAAAGAAAACTTGAGCACCTATGATAAAAAACAAGAAAATGCTAGTAACCGGCTTGTTTGGGAGTGGTTGGAAGTTGTGTCAAAACTGTGCTCAGCCCCCACGTTTTGAACTTGAGTGAGCAGGTGTACTCTCTGGCCATGGTAGTTAGTGCCTCCCAGACACATGTTCCCTTCTTGGAAGCAGGGAGCTGTAAACATTGGTTAGTGCTTTGAAAATGAAGGGTCGTGTCCAACCAAGAAGAGTATTATATGAGACATTTCTTGCTGTAGCCTTTCCATCTTTAAAATTTTGAGGTCCATGGTTAAAGGAGAAAATCAAGCTTTTGTCTTAGCAAGAGAAAACGCTATAACCCTTATAAGTAAATAGTTCACATTTCTGTAATGTAGTATGTCATACAATTGGAGAACCCAGTTCAAATAACATTGTTCATTTTCTCTTCTCAAAATGCTTTAGGAGCAGTTTTGAAGGAAGGAGGGTT